CAGGATGTCACTAGAGCTGTATCTACCAGTACCTGTGTTTAAGACAAACCAAAACAGATTAAAAAAAAAAATTTGGAAACCTGGTCTTATTTTAAGTGTATTATACTAGTTACTCAGATTTATAAGCTGTAGTCTCATTTGTATAAATCTGAAAGCTCCTAGAGCATTCTGCCTTTCTAGTTTTTAGTCAGCACGTCCCACCCACTTCATTCATGTGCGGCAGGATTTGGTGGGTGTCCTCCACGCTACCCTGGCCTTTCAGCACGTTTTCCACATGGCAGAGGCCACATGGACTTACTATTCCCCCTTTTGGTCCCAGTTAGCACTTAATGTCCATCTCTGAATCTTTTTTTATTTTAGAACTTTTAAGTTCTGTACATAGTGACTTTTAAAAAGGAACAGAATGTCAACTTATTGTTTCATGTACCTGACTTGAAAATATAGTTTTTTGCTAGTAAACTTTGTGACTGCAATAGCCCTTTTTTTTAAAGGGGTTAGGACATAGTGTAATCAGACAGATCAGGGAAGTATTAATGAATGCAATATTGAATTCTTCCAGCTCTCCCCCCGAAGCAGCCCTTTAATCTGTGTGTGTCCCTCCACCGCCATTGTTAATACACTAGACCAGGCAACAGCCAACCACGTGGACTCCCACGGTCATCCTCACCAGTGTGGCTGCATTAAAATGAATCGGATATATGGCTCTCTGCTTATAACCTCTCGATGGCTTCCATTAAACTCATACTACAAAACTCAAACGTCTCCAAAAGCGTGGGGAGGTCTGATCTTCTTGTTTCCACCCTTGACGTCTCAAGGCAAAATCCGAGTGTCCCCACTGTGCTTCCCCTGCTCCACCCACACATGCCCTCTGCACTTGGAATCACAGTCTCGGCCCTTTTCTCCCTAGTCCTTCCCCAGCTCGCTCCTCCTCATCCTTCAGTTCTCTTGTCACGTCCTCCAGGAAGAAAGGCTTGAAACTGAAACAGCACTAGGTTAGCTTTCTTTGGAAGACATCCATTTGACCTTGACCTTCCTCTTTTGTACTATTTAATCCTCTTTGTTCGGTCTTGCCTTCCCTAGGTGTAAGCTCCGTGAGGGCAGGGAACGTGCCTGTTACGTACGCTCCTGTTTATACAGAAACCTGGCACAGAGAACACAGTCATTCTCTCTTCTTTTCAGTAAATGAATAATTGAATCTAAGAAGGTGCAATTTTAGAGAGCAATGGTGGCCTTGCCCAAACTGTGCTTGATGTGAAACAATGTAAATCACCAAGATTTACATGATATAAAATAGCCAAATTTACAGTAACTGGTATAGGTCATATATAGCTCAAGCTAAAATGACCCAACAATGCCACAGAGACAAGTACACTATGTTTCATTTCACACGTGTGTATTATTACTTCAGTTTATAAAACATGCTTAAATCTTCCAGTAGCACATGTATTAAAAAGTGTAAAAAAGCTTTCTTCCAAAATGTTGAAAGACCTTGTTGCTTAATTAGTGCCAGTCCAATAAGTATTCAAATGGTGTTTTTTCTTCTATAAGTGGGTGGGGATGTTTCCCAGGGTGTGGAGGTGAGCAAGTGAGAACAATTTTTTTTTCCTGCTGGTAACTATTCAGTAGTCTCCCATCACCTAACTCTTAGATTTCATCAGAAAAAATCTGAATTTTTTAAAAATAAAAACTGATTTTATATTCTTTTGCCAATAACCACATTCCACTTCAAGGAGGACTGCTCAACTATGCAGACTGAACACACTAGTGGAAAACCTGAGTGTGGCCTAAAACCAAGGCTCCTGATGAATTTTGGTGCCTGCAAAGGTGACATCTCTGGTTTTAAACTAGATTCACTCTTCAGATCAAAGGGTAGGAGCTGCAGGCGGGCCATGGGAGTCGGCATGAAGTTGTGATGGTTGGAAGAAATCTGATTTACTGAACTGCTTGAGTGGAAAAATTTATTTTGAAACTTGAAATGAATCATCACAAACTCCATCAGGGAAGGAGTGCTTTGTAAAGTCCATCCAAAACCATGCAAAAATAAGCAAAGCAAAATTCTTGGGAGCTTTCTAAGGAATGAACAACGTGCTCACACCTTCCCAGAAATACTTCCCAACAATTATGTGGCCAAGTGAACAGCACCGATATGTACCTAATACTCTCCCCATAGAAGTGAAGAGAGAATTTCTGGTAAAATTCACCATCTTTGTGACATACTCCACGTAGTACGAGACATTAAAAGGAAGCTGCTCTGGAGGCCTTGGCCCCTAATCAAGCAAAACTCCTTTACGCTCTGAGTGTAGTGTTTGAAGGACAGGGGACTGGAGGGAGAGTGAGGACGAAAAGGCAATGGGTTAGCTCAGGGTCCCCCATGTTTTCAAAGTGCCCCATGTTGTCTCCAATTGGTGCCGTGCTTCTATGCTTCTTTGGGGGGAGGGTGGTGAATACATTCTTTTAGATGGCAATTCACACAATAGATTCATTTTCCCAAATTGCTCTGATAACACTCTCCTTGGTCTAAATTCCATATGGACTCTTCAATTCCTAAAAAAATTAAGTCCCAATTTCTTGCCCTCACATCCAAAGCCCTCTGCAATCCAGCTTGTGCCAACTTCCTCAGACTTTTCATTACCTTCCGCCATTGAAGGGATGAGCTTCTTACAGTTTGTCCACTGCTGCCCTAATTCCTCCCTCCCTTCCTACACACACATCTCAGTCCTACCTGGACTTCCAGGCTAAGCCTATTTGTCATCTCTTCTAAGAAGCCAATAATTCCAAATGAAAGGTTATCTCTCTCTCAACCCTCTGAATCTGATAGCACTTTATCTGTATTTTACTTATGACAGTTCTTTTCTCTGTTGTGCTGGAATTATCCCCATGTGAATCTAATCTCCCTCCTCAGACTACAAACTCTTTGAAGGTCTGACCCACATCAGTCTGTATTCCTAACACCCTTAGAGTCTATTACAATGTCTTGGACATAAATATTATATGATTTGATAAGGTTAGTGGGCACCGATGTCATCATTTTGAAATGTACTAATAGTGAGAATTTAGTAATTAATTCTAATACATTCAATTTGTTACAGGAAATTAACTAATGAACAAGAACACAAATGGCCTTCTTTTGTTCTATGCCAAATGCACAATATTTGCAACTTATTTCACCTTAAACTATCTCACTCAATAGGTTATTGTTTACAACATAGAGGTTTTTTTCTTTAAAAAGCTGAAGCTTTAATAAATATAATTATCAGTAATGATGATGATAATAGAAGCAAGAAAAAAATCACCCTATTGGCTGACTGCCAGACAAATTGCCAAATCTGAGGGATAGAAATAAAGGTGGCAGAGGGTAACTTGAAATTCACTTGGTGACACATTAGATAAATTAGTAACAGTCAGGACTCTCTCCTGTTTTAAACATATATCACAGGGTAAATGCGTGGATTTACATAATGAAATCTAGTGAACGACAGCAATTCTACCGTGAACTACCAGCCACAATCTCATACCACATAATCAGCTCCAGGACTAGAAAACCACTGTCTCTCTTTCAGAGTGGGGACACATTAGTTCCTCCTGAAGCAGGTAAGTGAATGGCCATCATGTTACACTTCTCGGAGTCCAAAGACAAGCTCCTTGGACTGAGGAACAGAATATAACGTCTATACAATAAAGGCGGGGGTCTGAATGTAGTACCTGTGGTCAATTCACACTCTTTACTGTCTTTTCCTAAGTATAAAAGGCCGGGCCTGGGGATAAAAGAACAATGGCAAAAGTTGTTCTTATGCTCACAGACATATTGCTCCCATCGCCAGCTGGCCCTGGTAAAAATGACGGCTGCTTCTACCACCAAATCGTCAGTGCTACTAAAACAAACCATATTCAACACTCTTATATTTGTAAGCCCTCACAAAATCATTTCAAGACAAATTAAATTCATTATGAGTAAAGATGAATCACAGGAAGGCTTTAGAGTTAAACAAAAATGATTCGACTAGAAAGGCCTTTTGGAGAGTGGGGCTAGAAGCAGAAAATTTTATTTTCTGATCTAGAGAATTAGGGACCCTCAGAGGACAAGGAGGTCTGAGGAAATGGAAAGGCTAGGTCGCAGTGTATAACAAACTGGCAGTGCATGCATTTCGTCTGTCAGGATTTAATAGGTTAATATCACTGAAGATGAGTCATTTCTGTTTGAAGCACAAAACACATTGACACAGAGACAAAGGGGCTTGGAAACTTTATCTTGGGGTCTCTGAACAATCAAAGGCCTTGTCTAGTCAACATTTGGAGTAATTTTTCCCAGGGGAATTATTACAATTTGAGAGGGATGAAAGAGTAGCATTCTTGTGATACATTTTTGTTTTCTGAGACTAAACGCTTCATGTCTGTGAGAGGCGACATTTTGGATGTCTGAGAAGTGTGCCCAAGTGCGGAGGCAACGACTTCTCTCAAACGTCTTCTGGCTGCGGGGAGGACACAGCAGTCGGGAGAGAGAGTCCTTAGACGAACTTTAGGAGTTTGTTTGAAAAGCATTGGTCAAAAAGAGGAGACTTTTTCAGAAAACTAGGTTAAGATTAAACTCTTACACCCTTTGAGTTATTCTGCTTGAGGTATGCATAGCTTACAAAATGAAAGCTCAAGTGATTAACAGAAAATTTCAAACTCACGGACAAGAGGCATCGATGTTTCATTACAGTACAGTGCTTTCCTTCAAGATCCTTGACTCAAACAGTTATTAAAAATCAGGCTTAGGATTCTTAGTATTTAAACTCTCCAGGCAACTGGAAAGAAAATGGGTTTTCAGAGCCAGCGTGGATGAAACCTACAAGCTATAAACCTGTGACTAGCTCTCGTTAGATTTTAGGTATGTTTTTCTTCTCAAATTTGTTCTTGTGATCTCTAGGTCTGCAGAACCAGGGGAAAAATTGCGAACAACTGGCACCAGAGGGACTGCAAAAGCTACTTGCTGACAGTTGAAATCATGAAGCCGTTACCATGCTCCAGCGCTTTCATGGGAAACCAGAAGAGGATGAGGGAGTGGACCAAGGCGTTGATGCAGTGACCCCAGAAAACCTAAGGGAAAACAAACCGAGGGAGTCAGGAACTGCCCACACTCTCGACCTCCGTGTAACTCAACAAACGCCTCATTGTGCAGGATGCCGGCAGTGTGCTGCACAGCCCCAGAAGGGGCATATTCTTCTTGAAGTTAAAGCAAACAAACAAACAGAAAGAACCCAAATGATTTCCTCGTTTTTTACGTACAAATGACTGGACGATCTCCAGATACCACTATTTAATACAAAGACCTAAATATATATTCACATGTACGTAGACCAATATACAATCCATCCACATCTGAAAAATGAATTATGAGCTGTTTTTTTTAGAATCCTAAGAAAGACACCAAAATTTTACAAAGGCACCAGAATCATCCAAAAAAAGGTTATTTGCTCAAATTTGTTAATAAGAGACTGAAACCGTGTGCTTTCTGAAAGCAGTAAAAACATTTAATATGTGAGTTCTTACCCAGCATTTTATTCCTTAAAATCCATCCCATTGAACTTTTTAATTTTTAGAATTTTAGTTAATATCTTGCACCTTTAAAAATTCTCTTTATCTTAACATTTGAAAGGTCAAACGAAAGAATGCAAAGTTTTGTTTCTCCTAAATTATGGTTTCATAAGTACATTTCCATCATGTTTTTAACCACTGAGATGATAGAACTACTAAATCTAGACTAAATTTACTTTAAAATCTACAAATTGATCTGGGAGTTGTCATATGTTTGATCTTACCTAGTGGAAAGACTAAAGAAAATAATGAAAAATTATATAAGACAAAGAGATTTTCCCATTTTAAATGTTTACTTTCCCTCTGACTTCTGTACCCCCCTCCCCCCACCCCCGATCTTCCAATACGTCTCGGGTTGTTCTTAGCTTTGCTGCCTTGGATGGATGTATTCTCTACTTATTTTGTGCCCTACGCAGACTTTGAATTCACACCCTAAAAAACAGATTTGATTCACGCAAATAATGCAGAATACATAGGCCACTGATAGATATGTCCGACTGACAGAATCAAGGTCAACAAGGACCGATATAATTAATCATCCAAGTCTCCTGTGTATGGAACATGCCAGAACCAACAGAATCCCTTTCCCCTTTTTTTCCAGTCTTGGACATGCCCCCAAATAAGGTGGCTCTGAAGGAGCGCTATTGGTAACACCTGGCTTCAGATGATGTCTTCAGGCATTTGTTCTTTTACTGAGGATCTCACACTTCTTCCTCACTGAGCCCCACTGGTGGCCTGAGCAAATCACGTATATATACAACCAGCATCCAGTATTGTAACTGACCTGGGCAATGGATCTCTGTTTAAACTTCCTAATCCTCTCCTGCACGAAAACCTGCCAGAAACATGGCGACGTAGGTGTGTTCACTTCTCTGCCTCTTCCGCCAAGCCAGGCACACCCTTCCCTCCTGGCCAGTGGCAGCGACTGTTTAGCCGCTCTTAACTGTGGCTGGCAGGTGGCGTGAGACCCCCTCTGCCATCATGGCCGCCAGTCTCTCTAACACCTAACCCAGCGTCTGCTTGACTCGTGTCCAGATCGCCTATACCCTGTCTAGATGCGCTTTCTTTTCTGATTCTCCAGCCTGAAAAATAATACCCATGACAGACTTAATTTCTGTGTTCACATCTGGCCAATTTTTTTCACTGGCTAAAGTAACATTTTCCATTAAATGAAAAAGCAAGCAATGGCAGCAAGAGGGTCGTTAGGCATCTCCACCCGGCCTCAGTGCAGGGCTTTATGGACGGCTAAAGGGTGTGTCTCACGGCTCATCCTAAAGGACCTGGTGCCATGGGTGCTGCTGGCCACACCAAAGTCGGGAGCACATACAGAGAGGGAAGGAATGGACGTAGAAGAATGGAAAGAAGGACCACGTGTAACATGGCAACTTCCTGACTGACGTGGCACCTCAAATTCATTGGACTTGCTCTACTAGGAGAAGGCTCCTGGCCTTACCCCATTTAAATACTTTCTCTAAAACTTCATTCAGCCCATCGCACAGGCAGAAAATGAGAATGAAAGGACAAAAAGTCATCGCCATTTTCAGGTGACAACTCTGCCATAACGTTCTGTTTACCTTCGTGTTGAAGCCTTCAGCATTCTGGGTGATTTTGTAGAGCTGAGGAAACCTGAGCATGCTCTCCTGAGTGCAAGACCTCTCAAAGATTCCCAGGGTGAAGGGCGGCAACGCAGTGAAAATCTGTGTAGAGAACAGCGAGCCATTAACGGAGGCCTTTCTGACTCACAGGCTCAAAGGGTTCAGTTCTCAGGGGAATGACGACTTCACTCTCAGACAAGCCCAAACCTGAGCGCCGGTGATTCACGGCTCCCCAGACACTCTCCAAACAAGGAAAATAAACAAAAGACCATTTTTAACTGTTACTTCATCAGCATAAAATGAATACATGCGACACTCAAAACAACAATACATTTGATTAGCCAAGAAATATTGTTAAGTGAACAGCTACCTTTCTTGGTGCAATGAGTGGTGACTGAGAATTGCACCCCCTGAGCTTTGTGAAGTGCTGCTGTGTTTCTGCTCCTGCCGGCAGAAGCAGTTTCGTAACTTCCCATCCCGATTTTGTGCTCCAATTTCAGGAAGCACAATGTACTTCATTTATCCATGTGACAGACATTTATTGGGGATGAATTATGGGCCAGATAGGATGATAAGCCCCAGGAATACAGAGATGTAAAAACAGAAGAAAAAAGAAGGAAAAGAAGCAGGTCCCTGACCTCTAGGAACTCTGCCTACTGCAGAGGCGGAGACAGGGCAGCTGGCAAGGGGCAAATAAATAAACATACAAAACACAGTGCTCTGCAAAATCACTCATGGGGAAGACTGGGGAAGGAGAGGGAGCGTCGAGAAAGAACTGTTGGCCCAAAGAGCATGTGAACTGTGAGGCACTGTACCTGTGGGATTTGGCAGGATAAGAGACGAGGGTAAGAGGGGGGCAGAGGGAAGCGTTCTCATAAGATGATGCCCCCCCCAAGCTTGGAGACATGAATGCACATGGCACATTTGGGGGAGACATCTAGGACACCCAGGATGGTGGCTGGCTGGGGACCCAGTGCAAGACAAGGCTTGGATGGTGACCGAACAACCTCCTGTGCCAGTAAGTTCTTGGGCAGGTGGTGCTTTCTAAGACTTTTACCTGTGTGGTCTAGGGGGGAGTGAAGTGCTCATGTCTGTGTTTCAGAGGGACAAAGCCAGAGGCTGACGAGGAGGCTTGGAATAAACACATCATTTCAGGCCAGGAGGTGCGGCAGCCCTGTGGGTCATTCTCCCCTGTGGTTCTGGGCAAATGGGTCACAGAGACTGGCTGGGTCACTCACTTCTTAGCATCCGCATCAAGCAAATTCACACCCACAGACCCAGCAAATTCTCCAGCCCATGGGAACTGGATGCTATCTCTAAGGGAACTCTGAATGCAGGCCAGTTATGGGGGGCCCGGGAAATAAGCTTCTCCCCAGTCTGTGGGGAGAAGGCCACGGGTAATGTGGTGGAGGAAGGCCGGCGCAGCTTGCAGGCTCCCTCCCTCACCCGGACGCAGAAGGAGAAGCAGTCCTGGGATTGCAGTGCTCTGCAGATTTCCAGGAGCAAAAGATCGAGAGCGGTTGCCCTCATTCCCCTCACAATAACAGAATTATCTGTTCACTGACGAGGTGAAGGCACTGGGAACAAACATCTCAGCAGCCCTGCACACTCTGAGCACATAAACTCGCCCTTACTGTGGGGCATACTTGTCTGCTGTTAACACGGCTCTTACATTTTCTTTTCCCTTTTCACTTGCCTGTCTCCTTCTACCCACTTCAAATCCTCCCCCACCCTTCACCACAAGGCTGCCAACCTAGGGGGCCTTCTGGCATTTTTCACCCTGCTTACTGCATACCTCACACACATATATACTGTGGAGGGAACATTATTTGTTTTACAGAAATAAGACATTACACACATTTTTCTTTATAACATTTTTCTCACTAAATAATACAACACGGGAAGCCCTCTGAGTCCCCTGGGTCTGATGCTAAGGCAGAGTTTCCCTGCTCACGTAATAATTCATAGCATGGATGCACCGTAATTTTTCAGCCCTGCATTCGTTTTCATTTCCAGGTCTTTGTTCTCACAAGCATTGTGTAACAAACATCTATAATATAGCATACCATTTATAATTTGTCTTTTATTTCTATGGAATGAATTCCCCGAAGTGGGGGTTGCTTGGTAAGAAGATAGGAGTATTTTTAATTTTACAAGATTCTGCTTGGTTGCCTTTTAAAAAGGTTCTAATCAGTTACATGTTTTTCCTTCCCAAAGGACAATGGTATTCTTTTCCCTGCTTCCTATCAGCAATGGGTGTTATATTATAGTTCATATTCTCTAGTTTAAAAAGCTAAAGATATTAACTTTAAAAAAAATTTACATGTCCCCAACTACCAGTAATTTTGAGCATGTTTCCATATATTTGTGGACCATTTAGATTTGGAATCCTGTGAAATGTCTAGTCGAGTCTTTTGTACATTTTTACATTTGTGTTTTATCATCTTTTCTAAGAGTTCTTTGAATATAATAGATATCAACTCTGTCCTTATGTTATATTAAATTTTAACTAAGTGTATTCTTTGCCTACTTGCTTTCTTTATGGCTTCTTTTGCCACATCAAAGCTTTTAGTTTTTATATGGTCAAGAATAGCTTCAGACTGTCTGATTGTGTTATGGAAGTTTTCAGGATTTTTTTCAGAATTCTTACAGCTATATTTTTCACATTTAAGTCTTAATATATCTGGAATTTATTTACTATGTGGTTTAAGATTAGAGCCCAATTTTCTTTTACTTTTTCAAATAAAGAACTAGTTGTGAAAAAACAACTAATTAATCCAAACTTTCCCACTAAACTGAAATACCAACTCATATACAGTTATGAAATTCTCACATATTATAGACCTAGGATCTAGAACTGGGATCTTGTTCTAGATTCTCTGGCTTATTCGTTTAATTCTATGTTAAAGTCACACAGATTTATTTACAGTGGCTTTATAGTATAGTTTAATGTTTAGCAAAGATAAGTCTACCTTTATGATTAGCCTTTTTGAATATGCTTTGCATATTTATTCCCAGGTAGTTGTTAATTCCACTTATACTTTAATATCATTTTATGCAACTCACCCTCTTTCACCCTCAGTCACCTACTGTGAATTTATTTGGAATCACATAAAAATTTATATATTAATTTTAGAGGGCCTGCTTCTTTTATGATACTAAGTCTTCCCAAATAAGAAGAGTATATTTCCATTTGTTCAAATCTTGTTCCATATATTAAAAAAATTTTTTTTCCATATAAGTACTATAAATACTGTTCCTAGGCAAAGTATAATTTTAATTGCTCTTTTGAAAGAATTATTACTTCCTTTGCATTTCTAAGTGCTCACTGCTTGAGTGAAAAAAAAGCTATTGATTTTTAATATTTTTATATATTTATAATGAATCTGGTCACCCTATCGAGTTCTCTAATAATTCCACTATTTCTTTACTAGTTTCTTTTGTGTTTTCTAGATATACAATTATACATGAACATATTTACATGGCTATTGTGTGTGACTATTTGTATAAGAACAGAAATAGTTAATCTTTTTTTTCTAGTATTTTCAATAGTTATTTAATTTTCTCAGCAGTTGCTGAAAATCACAAAACAATGCTGAATTATATAGTAAAGGCAGGCATCTCTGACTAATTTCTTATTTTAAATAAAACAGTTTTAGAATTTTACCATTTATGACAACTGGTATTTTATAAAGAATCTGCATTGTTATTTGGCTTCTTTCTTTCTTATTTTACTTAGAGTTCTTATCTTGGGAATGACAGCTGAACTGCCTCAAATGCTTTTGCAGCATCTACTGATAGGATCACATTTTTCTTCTTTATTTTGTTGTCACAGTGATACTGATAAATTAAAAAAATTTTGAACCTCCTGTAAAATTTATTTTAATCTTAGTTGGTCAAATATTTCATTTGGTTGATACACTCCTGAACTCTAATGGCTGATATTTTATTTAGAATTTTTATATTCATGTTTTTAAGTGAGGTTGGCTAACTGTTATGCTGGCTTGATAAAATGAAACCATATAAATTTTCTGAAACAGTTTAAAAACAAGGTTATCTCTTCATTAAAACATAGATAAAATTTAGCTGAAATCCATCTGATAACGATAGCTTTTGTCACTGGTGGCCTCTTTACTCTCATTCTACCCATAAAATAAAATGATGTAGAAGTTTGAGATGATAATAGAGTATAATGAGAATCTAATGAGATAGCACTCACTCATGACTCGTGTTTTGAGAGATGTGTTTTAAGTCAGTTTTAATGCTGTCTCATGGGCTAGCAGAGTTGAACTGAGAAGCAGTGACACACTTTTTGGCTTCAGGAATCAAACAAAGAATATTTAGAAGAAGAAGAAGCAGGAGAAATACTGCTTGAAGAAAATGGGAGGGAGATCCCAGTACAGAAGAGGTGCCACTAGCAAATGCCATACATGGCACAAACTATCTCTTGCACTGGGTTTTTGTGGAGCAGAAAAAAATTGCTGAATAGGACATTATTGGAAAAGCACAGTTGAAATATGGGCTAATGTGGATTAGATAAGAGTACTGTATGCATGCTAAATTTTCAGATTTTGGTCATTACACTGTGGTTCTGTAAGAATGATCTTAGTAACTATGCAGTAAGGTATTAAGCAGTAAGGTGCATGATGTTTTAAGTTATTGGGTTGGCCAAAAAATTCATGTTTTTGTAAGATGGCACTTTTAACTTTACTCAAAACAATTTTGTTGGACTGTATTGTGACAGCTGTCATATCAGTGTTCATTTAAAAACTTATCAAAATTGGTGACTTTTTGTGTAGCCATTTTAATATTGAAGATGGAAGAAAATATGCATTTTCAGCTATCATGCTTTATTATTTCAAGAAAGGTAAAAATGCAACTAAAATTCAAGAAAGGATTTGTACAGCATATGGAGACACCGCTGTGACTGACTGAATGTGTCAGAAGTGGTTCATGGAGTTTCATGTTGGAGTTCCTCACTGGACAATGCTCCAAGGTCAGGTAGGCCAGGCGAAGTTGATAGCGATCAAACTGAGACATTAATCGAGAACAAGCAATGTTCTACTATGCGGGAGACAGCCAACATATTCAAAATATCCAAATCAATAAAGTGGTTGGTGAAAACAAAAAATGTGTCTTTTATTTTACAGAAAAAACTAATTGGACTTTTTGGCCAACGTGATAGCTGCAACTGCTTTAAAAGAAATGTGTTTGCATGGGGGGTGTCCACATGCCTGTGGGCAATCCTCTGTGTTCTCAAAAGGTTTGGTCCTCCCAGTCTGACTGAGTCTGGAGGCCAGTGAGCCTCCTTTCTGATCCCACATCACAGATCCTAGACATCCCATGCTGCTCCCCATTCTCTGCCAGCACCCCCTGGAAGACCGCTCCAACGACTGGGCTGTGGACTCCATAGTACATTAGGGCCGTTCCACCCTGCAACTCACTTCTCTGCTGCAATATTCTATTCTTTATAGTATGGAGACCCAAAGCAGATAAAATATATTCCCAGTCCCAGTGATCAAAGGCTTTTATGAGTCTTAAACTTTAATGTACATGACCATCACTAGGAAATTTCCTTTACAATGCAGTATCTCTGAGAAAGTCAGTGAAGTCAGGGTGGAGATTGGGACTCTGCATTTTGAACCCCACCCTGGTGGTTCTCATGCAAGTGGTCTGTGGACCGCATTTTGGCCAATACCATCCTATAGCCTATCAGCATCTTATGAAGAGTAGGCACATGATTTAAGTTTGTTGAATTAATTTGAATTGCCCAGGACTGTATGGAACTAAGAAAAACATCTAGTTCTCATACCCTGACTGTGAAAACAGGGCCAGAATCCATCTGTCATGTAATCAGGTGACATGCGTTACAGTTCTGGTTTTAGCTCTAAATCATAGTCTCCTAGGTCTCAGCCTCCTATTTCTAAATACGTATGTAGGAATGGGTTTGGCCTTTTCTAGCACTAAATCACTATGGAGCTGTCAGCATATTTCCCAGTAAATGGTCACATAATTCTAACCTGCTCAAAAAAGTTTTAAGTTCTGCAAAGTTAACAGTCTGTCCAAGGGGAGGTCGTTGAGCCCCATCCATGCGATAGGTGGCTGCAGCAGCAGCTTTTCTAGAACAGGTGATAAATGGACATCAATTCAGCCCTGTTCTCACCACCTGTCACCTTTGTCTTTGCGGGTCTAAGTATCAGCAACAAAGGTGTTCATGCACTTTGTAGTGAGTAACAGTTACCGACCAATGCTGTTTCACTCAAGATCTGAACTCAGTCTCAGCGATATCTTAGTCTATACATCTGACTCTCTCAACCTGTAAGCTATACAGGACCGTGGCAGGCTGCAGGATACAGCATTTTATATCTAGTGCCTAGTATAGTGGCTACTCAAAAAAAAAAAAAAAAAGAAAGAAAGAAAGAAAGAAGAGGAAAACAGGGTTGAGTGCATGGGTGACTTGACTCTGTAGCCACAAATGTATATTCAAGCTGTAAATATTTATAGCACCACAATTTATGTTATTGTATGCCTGGTAAATTCCATCTACACCTATCTATGATGACCGCTTCCGAGCAGAAACTCCCACAAAGCAGAGAATGTCAGAGTTAGGTTCCAAAGCAAGTGTGAAAGTGCAGCCTGAAACATCTGCCACATCAGTGTGCCTGAAGCACTTAGCACAAACCCTTCAGTTCTCCTTGCCGGTGAAACACAAAGCTAGGTAGCTAGTTCATCATTTTATCTTATAGTTTATATTTACTTCCAGTTTTTGCATTCATTGCAGTCAAGTAATTTAAAAAGAACTTAAAATCATTAAAAAGTACCAAATAAACAGATTACCATTTACCTAAGGAGCTGGAAGTCAGAATTCATCATCTTGGCTCTAACTGTGAAAGAAAACGTTCTTCCTCAAGGACAGAATAGACACTCTTTTAAGAGGGACAAAAAGAACACCAGATCACATACTGTATGTTCGTATATCTACGTTCAAGAATTCAGAAATAAAATTACAAAGTGGAATGAGTTTAGATGTAGTTCAGAAATTTTTACTTGAGCTAAAAAACATGAAAATTTTGCACAGGCATTTAGTAAGGAGGTAACAAGGGTCTATTATCAAGATATATGGGTTAATAATTTCATGGGGTTATTCAAGAATGATCTGCTATGATTGAAACCATGTGTGGAGAGTTTGGGCTTCTGCAGGATGTGTCGCAGCAACAAAGGCCCTAAAGATGTATTTGTGCTGCCTGCTATGTATACAGATGATGGACTTAGATACACTTCCCAGACATAAACAGTGCAGGAATGTCACTGAAGTTCTGTGTGCTATCAGACAGAGATGGAGAATGCTTACCACATTGTACAGGCCGATGCACCAACGTTCAAATAAAATCTGCCCAGAAAATCCATTTACAAAGGCGAACCAAAGCTGAAAGAGAAGAAAGTTCATGAAGTTTTATATCAATATTGACCTAAATGTTTCCATTTGCTGAAGAAGTAGCAGGAATGAGGACCACCAGCTGGACACAGCTGTTAGGGATAAAAAGCCACAGGACCGTAGCAGTTCTTCCATAAAATACAAATTCCCACTATAACATATACCAATATTTTAAGAAAAATTTATATTTAAAGCATACAATGATTTTAAGTGGTAATATGCACATATTAGTAGGGAAACAATTTATATCTAATGCATGACTACTATGTTTTATGTCTACACTTTTTCATTGGCTGAAACAGTCTCAACTTCATGTTCTTCTCCCCCATAGAGTTGATTTGATAAATATAATTTATCTTTGTAGGGCTTTCAAATAGATAATCAAATTAAACTAAAAAACAACGAGAACTCTTCTGCTGGTCACATGTGCTCTCAGCTCATAAAATGGCGACCCTCCATAACAGAGTGTCCGCCACCGTAGCAGAGGTGGAAGTACATGCATGAAAGAACCATGCTTCAATCGTCTTCTGCAGTAACACAGTTGTATAAATAAATAAAATGTGGACGATTATTCATACCTTCAAGTAGTCTATAATTCTAATTGATTAGGCAAGACTGACGTAAAAAACTACTACAGAGCAAAGAGTCTGGGACATGCATGACAAGTGAATAAAACTGTTTAAGACGGGGACGATCACCCAGCTGTAGTTTGGAGAAGGTGCGGAGGTGGTGAGAGTGGGGGGTAGAACAGGGCTGAGCCATCACGCTGAGGGAGGGGAACCTGCCTCAGAAGAGAGTGAAAACAGAAATATAAAATGTTCCTACGTAATTCAGCTAAATTGATATGATGCAACAGGACTCCAGGGATTTGGGGCAGACTTTAACATATTCCATGCTAATCACAGAATCGGATTTTAGGGGTGTGTAACTGTGACGGACTGAATCTGTTACCACGGCAGGACAATGGCCACACAGATCAGCGGCCCACTACCTGCCCCCACCCAGTAATCTGAGTCGAGATCAACTCTGCTACTAAAATTTTACTGAATCAGATTTTTAAAAACCAGTTTCTAGACTCCACCAGGCTGTTTCCTTGAGACAGAAATTGTTTCTTACCCTGTGCAATGTACCCAGACTGACACTTCATACAAACAGGGACCCACTGCATTCCAGTGGGATCAAATGGACATCTCAATCTGATTGCCAGATGAAGTTTTCTTAAGCACAGCTTTCATCATCTCATTTCCTAGTTCAAAAAACTACTAGGGATCCCTCCTAAACCTAAAATAAGCTTGCTGCCCTCTAAAAATCCTTCCACATTCCTATTTACTCTTAGTTTCAACTCTCTCCCATGAGGTTGTTGGAAGGCCTGGCTACTCTCAAGGAAGAATACTGGTAGAGAACTAAGAATCAGAAGTTTGTGCTGTGCTCTGTACTCCAAATATCTTTACAACACCTGCTCTAATATTAGCCGTTTCTAAAATGACAGTTTCAATCACAGTGCCTCCCTACCACTCAAGGCCTGGCAAACAACACTTCAACCAAACTTTTAGTAAAGTGATAGCCTGGACCCACACCTGATTCGAACATATTTGTACATTGTTTCAAAGGTTTTAACTTAATTCCTAATTTCCAAAGATTGTGCTATATGAGGTCTGTCTGAAGGTATCCAGCCATGTAATATGAAAAATAGAGACATTTATTGAAGAAGATACAAGAAACCTTGTACACAGGACAATGACACCCAAGTCTCCTTCCAAGTAGGCACCTTGGGACTCACTCAGTTCTCCCAGTCACTATCAGTTGCCCCATTGTATTTTCCTGAATCTCACTGATGGTCTGAAATCTCTTCCCTTTCAGAGGTGATTTTAGTTTTGGGAAAAGCCAGAAGGCACAGGACACCAAATCTGGCCCATAGAGAGACTGAGTCCCCTAGGTAATTTGCTGTGTCACTGAAAAACTCTGCATGAGACGTGATGCATGAGTAGGTGCATTGTTGTGATGAAGCAGCCAATCACCAAGTTGCCCATAGCTGTGGCCTTCTGAATCATCTGAAAAGTTTCTGAACAGGAATGTTCAAGCTAATGCAAACTTGGATACAGATTCATTGCTCTACTCGCTCAGTCATTTTGAATGCAATGGCCACACAGTACACATGCTCACTCAAAGGCATCTCCTGCCCCTACTGACTAGTACAATGAAGTTGTCATTGTTCACACATGCGCATTCCAGTCCGCTCTCCTTGGCTGCCAGGTTCCATCGATGTCACACAAACTGTTCTCATTATATAAACAATGGTTGGACTTTTTCTAGACAGACCTTGTATATCTATATCTTTTATTCAAACACCTGAGTAAACATTGGAAAATATTTAATAAACACTATTTTATTGCTTAATTCAGTTAATTTATTGTGTTTTGTTGAAGGTAACCTGGGAAAATTGTTAGTGTCATCCCTAGTCATTGTCTACACATATGTTTAATGTATTTTTCCTTTGACCCAGTGATTCAACACTTAGGAACATACTTTAAATTATATCATATAGTTATAATCACATAGTATTCAACATGAAAATACAAGAGAGTTTACCACAGCATTATTTGAAGGATAAAAAATTGGAGCCTGTATTTATACTGATAGCTGGTTAAATGAATTATGGTTCAACCATAACAATAAAACACTGTGCAGACATCATAGAGTAGTATAAATTTGTAAGCATTATAATATAAAAATATCACAGATATATTGTTAAAATGAAAAATATCAAGGTATATGTTGAATAGTCATAATTGCACAGAATGAATGATACACTTCCAACTTTTTAGAAGACATAAGAAATTATTTATATTAGTTATCTTTAGGAAGCAGAAATGTTCTGTAGATGCTAGGATGGAGACTCACTTAGACCTCTTCCACTGTTCTGAACTTTATTGTATAATAAAAACACTCAGCAAAGTGGGAGTAGAGGAAGCAACCTCAACATAATAAAGGCCATATAAGAGAGACCTACAGCCAACATCATACTCAACAGGCAAAATCTAGAAGCTTTCCCATGAAAATCAGGAACAAGACAAGGGTGGTCCACTCTCACCACTTTTATTCAACATAGTATTAGAAGTTCTAGCCACAGCAATTAGACAGGAAAAAAATAAATAAAAGGCATCTAACTGGAAAGGAGGAAGTAAAACTGTCATTGTTTGCAGATGACATCATAGCATACGTAGAAAACCCTATAGACTCCACCAAAAAACTACTCAACCTAATATGTGAGTTCGGCAAAATAGTGGGGTACAAAGTCAATATTCAGAAATTGAAAGCATTTTTGTGCACCAACAATGAAATATCAGAATCAGAAATCAAGAAAAAAATCCCATATGCTATAGCAACAACAAAAAAATAAACTACCTTGGAATAAATCTAACCAAGGAGGTAAAAGACCTCCTTGGTACTCAGGTACTCAGAAATTAGGTACTCAGAAAACTATACAACACTGAAGAAAGAAATTAAGGAAGACACAAATAAATGGAAACATATATCATGTTCATGGATTGGAAGAATTAACATCATTAAAATGTCCATACCACCCCAAGCAATTGATAGAGTTAATGCAATCCGTATTAAAATGCAGTGATATATTTCACAGATATAGAACAAGTATTTCAAAAATTTATATAGAACCATAAAAGACCCCGAATAGCTTCAGCAATATCCAGGAAGAAGAACAAAATAGGAGGGATCACAATACCTGATATAAAACTATATTACAAGGCCACTGTAATCAAAACAGTCTGGTGCTGACATAAGAACAGACACATAGATCACTGGAGTGGAATAGAGAGCCCAGAAATAAACCCATGTCTCTATGGCCAATTAATATTTGAACAAGGGGGTAGGAGGATAAAATAGAGCAAGAATGGCCTGTTCAACAAATGGTGTTGGGAGATGTGGACAGCCACATGCAAAAAAATGAAACTTGACCACCAATTTACACCATACACAAAAATAAACTCAAGATGGATAAAAGACTTAAATATAAGTTGCTACACCATAAAAGTTGAGAGGAGATCAAAGGGAGGAAAATCTCAGTTATTCTATGCAGCAATATGTCCCCTACAGAAAGGGGCATAAAGGAAAGAATAAACAAAGGGACTACATAAAATTAAAAAGCTTCTGCATGGCTGAAGAAAACATCAGCAAAATGAGAAGGGAACTAACCTTATGGGAAAATATACTTGCCAATGTTAGTTACCTCAGACAAGGGTTGGATCTCCAAAATATATAAAGAACTCACACAATTCCACACCAGGAAGACAAACAATCCAATTAAAAAATGGAGAAAGGACCTGAACAGACACTTCTCCAAGGAGGACATACAGAGGGTTCAGAGACATATTAAAGGATGCTCAACATCACTAGCCATCAGAGAGATGCAAATTAAAACCACAATGAGATACCATTCCACACTGCTCAGAATGGCCAACATAAACAAATAAACAAGTGGTGTGGAGGTTGTGGAGAAAAGGGAACCCTGGTGCACTGTTGATGGGAATGCAGACTGGTGCAGCCACTGTGGAAAACAGTATGGAAGTTCTACGAAAACCTAAAAATGCTACTGCCTTTTGACCTGGCAATTCCACTTCTGGGATTACAACCTAAGAATCCTGAAATACAATTTTTCAGGACAAGGGGATAGTGACCAGAGGGGAGAAGGAAGGGAAGTTAAGGGGAAAAAGGGGGAGGGATTTGGAGGAACAAATAGGAAGGACACAGGGACGAGAACTGAGGGGGGTGGAAATGGGAGGGAGGTGGGGAGCAAGGGGCGGGGGGAGGCTGGGAAGGGAAAAATAGACAAAAAACTGTACTTGAAAAATAACTAAATAAAATTAATTAAAAAAAAAAAGAATCCTGAAATACAAGTTCAAAGGAACCTCTGCACCCCGATGTCCAAAGAAGCACAATTTAAAACAGCCGAGTGCTGGAAATAACCTAGG